GGCATGGGCACAGTGCTGGCAGAGCTGCAAAGCTCTGCATTAATCTAGTGGGAAGGCTGCTGATCTAACCACTGTCCTCAGCCCACTGAAGGGACGTGAGGGAAGCTGACAGGTCCCCAGCACACTGGAGCATGAGGCGTGTATGCCTTCAGGGCTGCTGTGCTTTGTGGGTCTGCAATGGGATCCTGCCCCTTGCTGAGAGATTGGGAGGAGCAAGTCTGTGCTCTGTGCTGGGGCAAGGGCTGGTTGGTCCTGTGCTGCATCCTGGTCTGACACTGGATCCAGATGCCATTCAACTAATCCACACATATCCACCTTGTCATTCATCTTTCCAGTTAGAGCTTCTTGGCTCCCTGTGGCTCTCTACCAGTAACAGGAGTGGGGCAACTGGTAACAACCATGCCTGTCTGCGAAGGACACATGCTGTTCCCCGATGAAGTGAAACTGTTGGTAAAGCTGTGTCAGCTGAGATCTGCCCCAGATGCACACATGCCGTATATATGTTATGGGGTGTATGGAAATACAAAAGACCATCTACTTTGTGAATTTAACTGTAGTTTGGGTGACGTTTGCCTTAGCATCAATGCCAGTGATTGTGTTCTCCTGTAGAGAGCCTGTGGTCTCTCCTAAGATTATTGAAGCAGCACTATAGTTACATCAGTTCAGCTCTGGATTTCAATAGCCATGTCCTGTGTGGCTTGTGGTGGCATGTGGTCCATTGAAGCCACAAAAGTATTTAAGCATCTTTAATGGATTGCAAGGTATTTCTGTGTCAGAGAAGATGGCAGGGAAATGATTCATTCATTGAGTGGGATGCACAAATGTACAACTCGTGCATCAACTCTTGTGTATCTAATTTTCTTTTAATTAAATGCAGCTTACGAAAGATTTTAGGAGCCCTTCCAGGATTAACATTGCTCTTGCTTCACGAAGCCTCTACTCAGCTCCTGAGCTCAATGCGCTCTATTAAAAGTTACTACTCAGTCATACGCGTTGCTCTTTGTTGTGGCCTTCTGGCCATTAATCTGTTAAAAAAACCCTAAACGTGGTCCCAAAGAGAGTCAGGCAGTAAATTGCCACTAGCTTTAAAGGAAGCTTTTTATTCATTTGAAGCACGCTCAATGTCATGGTGCAGCATGAAGCATAAAGCAGCAAAGGCTTCAAAATATATAGTAACTGGAATCCCAGATGCTCTAAGTAGTTGGAGGACAAAAGAAAAGAAAATGAAGGACAACCATCCACCAACATTCCCCTGAGGACAACAGCATGAGCCCAGAGATCCTCACACCTGGGTTTCTTGACCCTTGGTGAACACAGCCAGGGGAGGGAACTCTCCCACTAATGTTGGGATCAGACCTGTGATATCACAGATATTCTGCTGTGTGGCTTCCAGTGTTCTGTGGTTCAGACGAGCCCTTAGAGGGACCCACTGACATCCCTCCCTGTCCTTGCTGGGATATGTGGGACTGTGCACATACACACAGATGTACAGGCGGACTCCAACATACAGCTACTGTGTGCAAGTCCACTTCATCCATATGCTTCAAGCTCATCATTTGTTTGTATGTTCTAGTAGATTAATATTTGTTGTTTAACTTGTGGAAGGACTTAGGAGACCCAGTCCTGGACTGAACCCTGCTGTGTGCTGGGAGTTAAAAGTACAAAAAAAGGTTGTCTGGTTAATCCATGCTGTTGCGTTTGTAACCAGCTAGGGTTTAGTACATTTTACACATGTCTGCCTACGGGCTAAATACTCATCATTTATTAACATCTGATATCCCATTTATGAATACACTCTCAATGCAAACAGCTAATCTCATGTGAATGCTATTTTAAAAACTCCTCAGGATGCAGAAGTCTAATATCACTAAAAACTGACTGTGGGGAATTGAATTCCATCTATTTCTTCTTGATTTGAAACCAAAGTAGGGTGGCCATGGGCCTAATCCAAAAACTGATGCTGCAGGAACATGCACTGCGTTGGCAGCAGGGGGATGTGGCTCTCGTTCTCTTCCTTTTCCCTCCCCCTCCTTGCTAAATCTGCACTTGTTTAAAGGACAGAATGTACAGATCCCATATGTTTGCTAGTGGTTAGGTTGGGGTTTTTTTAACATTATTGACATTTCTCTAGTATGAAACGGTATGATTTGTGAGTTTATAGCATATAAAATATAAATGACACAATGCCAGCTTGATGTGAAGTGGATGTGAGATTGTGCAGCAGAGATTTGAGCTGTATGTCATTAAACTGTATGGCTGAATGAGTTCTGCTACGTGCACTGAGGAAGCAAGCAATGGATTAACTAAATTGGAAACTATTCTAGAAAATGCTAGAGATAAAGATTCAGAAATGAACAAAAGGGACAAGTTATTAATTACGAGAGAGAACTAAACAAAATCAGCTCCATCTGGAAAACCAGGAAAGCCCAAATAATCAGCATTACTGGGCTTGGCCAGGCTGCTGCAGTGTAATGTTCAGAATAACTTCAAATTACATCTGGCCCCAAAGTAAAGAGCTCCTGCCAGAATGCCTGCATACATGAATGTCCTTTCTCTGTAGCTGTATGATGTGGGAATTTGGTGGAATATCTTTTTCAAATGAAGATATCTGAGCAACTGCAGTACTTTTGCATTGCTGTGTTACCCAGTGCATGTACATCTAGTGAAGGTAAGGAGGAAACTTCCTACTGATCCACTGTTGGCAAGTCTGATGTTGTCATAGCTCAAAAGAATCCCTACTAACTGCTTACATAAGCGAAAGGGCTGCACAGCCACCTCCCTTCCCCCAGGAATTCAAGAGGCATTATCCTGCTATTGAGGCTGCCCAACACTCACACCTTGGTGTGCCTTCTCCTCTCCTCCTCCAAAGACACCTCTCTGGACCCAGTAAAAATTAGTTCGCTCCTTGGTGTCTGCTACAGCTGTTTTAGCAGTTCTTTAAGTAGAAAGTCTTGCTCAACAGTGACCTCTGACTGCTTGCAGAAAGGAAATGAACATCTTCAAAGGACATCTCCAACTTCTGGCAGCAGCAGGAGAGCCACAGTCACTGTTAAAGTCTAACTAATGACAGCGTAAAAATGTAAAGGGAACCCACCTTAGTACTCTGACAGATATCCTGAGCTCTGTGCTTCATCTGGTTTGGTTTTAGCTTTCTTTTCCCTGTCGCAGTGAAAGTCAAGGAAAAATTATCTTCGGTGAAAACAGGTTTGGCTTTGAAATTTTCACTATCCCTGGGTTCAAACTCTTGTCCAGGAATACAAGAGACAGCTAAAGAGTCCTTGAATCAGATGATACCTGCCTGATGTGGCCAGCACCTTCAGCACTGCAAATGGTGATTTGTTTGGGGTTTTAGTTTTAAATCATCTTGCTAATTGGAGAGACTCAATTCAGTTAAATCAACCTCCAGTCGCTGGGACTCATGTAGCTTGGTGTCCTCTTGTTCCAAGAGTAACCGTTCAACCAGCAGAGGAGGTGCAATAACATCTCACACATTTTGAGCTGTTCTCATATTTAAGGGTGGCTGTGACAGAAATCAAACACACATGGAAGAAAGAGGAGAAGGTCAGAAGTAAATGTATGTTAATTTTCCGTGGAGCAAGAGAAACACTGAAGAGAGAGCAAACTGGATGCAACGTGTTTTTCCATGGACAGCTGACCATCTTTACGTGGCTCAGCATAAGTCAGTTTGTAATCAAGTCAAGCTGTCCTGGTTTAAGCATGTTAACATATGGAGGAATGTACCAGTGTATTCAGTCAAATTGTGCATGAAGCAAACATGAAATCATATTGAAATTGTTAATGCAAATTCCATCTTTAAATATGATGATCTCTAGTGGATTGTGGTAAATCCGCACTTTTTGTAGGCATTCACACCTGCACTCACACAGTCCCAAGTGCACTGAACGCTTCCTCTCAGTCAGACTTATTTCATGTGCTCCTGCTAGGGCACTCCAATGTCTGGGATGGAGAAGGATCATTCCCTGCTAATCTATGGAAAAAATGCATTTTTAATAATTTTGTTTAGTTCATTGCAGAAGTTTTGGTATGCTGTCATTCTGTTTGTTTAGCCTGATACAAACTAAGATAGCTGTTTCCTCATGTAAGTAGTTTTGGTTGTCACCAGCTTCACTCATCATCTGTTATAGGGTAAGAGAGCAATGCAACTCGAGAGCAGTGCAACTCGTTCCCCACAAGACACCACACCAGGCAAGACAATCCACTCATGGTCAGCACAGGTTTATTTGTGTTTTGGTATAAGTGCTTTTAAGCTTTGACGTTGCTGCCTCATGATCATGGTGATGAGAAGGTGAGTGAAAGATCCTGACTCATAGATGGGCAAGACTGTGGTTTCAGCTGAATTTCCCCTTGGAAACCAGCAGCATAGAGAGAGCAATAGCAAAAGAGTATCCATGGAATGGACCTCTTCCTTGCAAACTTTACCAAAAGCAGCCACCACCAAAACAAGCCTCTTACCTGCACATGAGCCAGTGCTACATAACATATAAAGTACTAGCACACAACTGAGACCCTTCTGACCTGGTAACATGCCTAATACTGTAAGCTTAGTTTAGTTCTGCAGGGTAGGCTGGACATGAATCCTGCTCTTAAATCAAGCTAAAGTTTTCAAGAAGACAAAGCACAGTGTGCAGCAGTCCACATGCGAGCTGACCTGCGAATGCAACAGCTGCTCCAGTAATGTAAGTGGGAATCAAAACTGCTGAGATTTGCAGAGCTTTCTGTGGTTGTCATTGGTTTTCTTGGCTGGTAATGCAAGAAGAAAATAATAACATTTGAGTCATCTGAACCTACAATAATAATAATAACAATAACAGAATTCCAAAGGTTTTATTTTGTGTGTATCCTGCTTTATTGACTTGCCCTTTGAAATTATTTTTCTGATATAATAAGAGCTTCTTTTTTTCACTGGGGGTTGGGGCCAGATTCTTTTGTCATCTACTTTTAAAAAGAGAGAGAGGAATTAAAGCAAGCAAACACCACTTTGACTTCTGGAATTTATCATTTCAGTTCAGGTCTAACTACAGAGCTGACAATCTGCATTTCAAAGGTTTCAGACTCTTTACCATACAAATTAATAACAAATGATATTTAACAGTCAGCTCCCTTGGCTATTAAGGATCACACATTCCATCAGAAACAGGGACTTCCATGAGACTGGAAAAACTTCTGATTACACTGAATGATTCCCCTTTTCAGCTGCATTCAGACAATACACATTTGGAGACACAAAAAAAATAAAAAAATTCTGGCAGGAATCCAAAACCTCTGTAACAACCCCCTAGGCCTGGGATTTGTCTAATAGATTGCTATTAAAGGGTTCTTTGGCTGGAAAGTTTCCCTTGTTCCAGTTCTTGATTTCTTCTTTTTCTTTTAAATTGGTGTTTGATTCTTCAGGATGAACTTGCTGTCAAGGAGATGAAAGCTCCAAGGATGGGAAGAGGGTACCAGGTTCTCAAATCTTGCACTGATTTCTTGCAGAAGTTGTTCCTGCCCCAGCACCTCCTTAGCAGGACAGAATAACACTAGTAAGAATAATAGTAATAACAATTACAAAAACATTCATATCAGTAAGTTTTTCCATTTGGGTCCAAACCACTCATTGAAAGACATAGCAGAGCATTTTAGCATGTATGGAAAAGACCCAAAATTGTGTCAGGAGATGTCAGTCTCAGTCCTTTGCTGTTCTTGACTTCTGCTGGGTGCAGTAATGACAGGGAAGCTCTGATTTCCCAGTTGCAGTGTGATTACCCAGTGATGAAGGCAGTCAGTGCCAATTAGCATGAATTAGGGCAGGCCCAGAGCTGTATGTTGGTTACTGCAGCTTGTCCCAGAGGGACACTGGCTGGTTTAGGAGCCTGGTGCAGAACTGGCTCATCAAGCAAGCCAGGTAGTTTAATCAGGTGTGTTTAGCCCTACTGCACCAATTTACTGCAGCCAAACAGCTGCAGTAGCTGGTCCACAGCATGTATACGTTCCTATATGGTTAATAGTGTTCACATTTCCATTCCTGTTAAGAACTCCAAGGCTGCATCTTTCAGTTTTGCCTCTAAAAAGCAGCTATTGTTTTTATAATTTCAGTGGTTTAGTTGTGAAATTCATAGTTGAGGAAGGAGAGAGAAAAGTCCCAAAGCCACCAGCCAAGCTAAATAGCATCTCCTCTGTCCTGATTCTTTCCTCCTGTCACTTCTGTGCCATTGTAACTTCCTGGGAATCCATCTCCATGCCTTAAACATCAGATATTCACTAACACCACTGTAGAGCCCTGATTAGATGAAAATGATATACCAAATTTAAAGCTGAAAGTGAATCAAGGCCACTGGTTTGATCAGCTTCTCCCTTTCCTTCACCAACACAGAAACCAGGAGAACAAGCACCTTTCTCATTAGCAAATGGTAATAAAGACCATAGACAAATTTAGAAAGGAGAGAGGAAAAGTGTATTCCCTAAGATTAATAATCTTAGCTAATGTAACTGATTTGCTTTATCGAAGTCAGTCATAGGTAAAACTTCTCTGAATCTTTTTCTTCCTCGTTGCATGCGTAAGGCCTAGTGAGATCTGAAGGGTTAACAGCACAACTGTTAGTCCCCTTTGTATTTATCTGTATGACCATAAGTAATGCATATTTTGAGCAATTGCATCCAAAGTGAACAGATCTGTGAGAGGAGATGGATCACTTACAGAGCAGAACAGGAAGAGCCTGCAGCTGTCTTCCAAAAGCATGGGGTGGTTATTTTCTAGGTCCTAGTGCCGTTCCCAGCATATCCTGAGGCTCGAACACTTAATCAGCATGATTATTATCACACAAATGCTGCCAGAGTTTGATTTGCACATTTAGTTTTTTACTAAAAGAACAAACTTTCCAAAACCCCGTGATGTTTGAGCCTCTGTCATAATTCTTTTGCATTTTGGACGGCTTTCCTGCCTGCTTGGGGTTTGGCGCTTGTGTAAAGAGGTGCAATAAGAAAAGTTATTCACAGGAGAGTGTAAGGCAAAGCAGGCAGCTCAGTCTGATTTAGCTAAGGCCTCATCCTCCTGGGGCTGAAGCCGGGCCATGGTGTGAGCAGATGCAGCAGCCCCTATTGCTATTTCAGGGGGAAATGTATCTGCTTAAGAATAGGGGAGGGATTTTATTCCAGGCCAACAGATGTTTTGTCAAAGTGGTATAAGCTGCAGGGAACTGTGCTGGGTATGTATATTTTCATTGTCTTTGGATCTCACTCGGTGCATCTCTGCTGCCTTGTGACAGCTTTCCTCACTGGCATGCTGAAGGCCCAGTTCTCTGTGATCCCACCCTGCCCTGGCCCCACAAGGTCCCTGCTGCTGTGACAACAGCCCAGACTAAGATAGATGGGGTATCTCAGATGCACCCTGCTTTTCACCAGTATCAAAGCACCTCTTTGGGCTCAGTGAACAACCAACAATCAGTAAGTGACTCAGCTAAGCCTCCTGGTCTCAGTTTCATAGCACAGGCTCTCTTTGCCCCTCTTTGGAAGTAGGATGGGGAAGACCAGCTGCCCTACACCTTTAAAAGCAGTGCCGAGACCCAGGTCACTCTGGTGTTTTATGCTCACCCCTTCCTAGATCTCCACTGTCTGCTGTACAAGGCAAGTGTTAAGTGCCTGTGCCTTTTTTCATCGCCTCAGCTTTCAATTTATGCTTGAATGCCACCAGAATATAGCACTGAGCCTCCTAAGGAGCCCAGGGTCCTCTCTCTCCCTTTACAGCCTTGGTTCTTGGCTTCTCCTCTGAATCACAAAATGTCCCTTTCCCTGCAGCCAACTCACTGCTGTTTCTCCAGTTTCTTCTCCATTCCTCTCCCTCTTTCTCTTAAATAGTTGGCAGGAGGCCCTTTCTTTCATAACTTCCAGTCATTTTTGCCAGGTGACCCTGTGAGCAATCTCCCCCAACAAATAAGCAAAGGCTTGGTTAAAAGACCACTTCTGGCAGAAAGGATATTCTTCTTTTGAACCCCCTCATTATTCTCTCCAGTGGGTCTCTCAGGCAAACAACATGAAATCCGGATCACCCGCATACCCAGACCAGACGCAGCTCTGTGGCACGTACACGCGGTTCTGGCTCTGGGAAGAAGTTAACCTCTTGAGGCCAGGAAAAAGGCAGCAGAAGACAATAGCTTCAGTGATTCACACACAATATTCCATAAAGTGGCATGGCAATTGCCTTTATTCCCCAAAGCCATGCACACCAATTTTTTTTTTGGTCAAGTTTCTCCCAACAGGCATTTTAAATGTCACAGTTTATATCCTAGATGAATTTCACTTGTGAGTGTTGTTGCTAAGACAGACCATATTGTGGCATCAATTTTTAATCAGGCTGTTCCCTCCAACTCATCAGGGAATTCTGCCTGAGATCTGCTGGTGGTATAAATCAAGAAGTTGTGCTGTTAGCATTTTTTATTACTCACTTGATGCCTCTCTGTGACAAGGAAGGATGATAAAAAGGAGAGGAAGAACATTTGAGTGAAAAATTAACTAAATATTACATCCTTTCTGATGAAATCTGTCTACTATACACCCATGAAGTACAGCATCAGCCCCCCTTGGAATTCAGTTTTGTTTTAATCCCAGAGCTTAAATGCTTGAGTTTGGTACTCCTGACATTTGCCCAGCAAGGAGCTGGATGCTTCACCCCGAAGCCTGGTGTGTGGACCACGGCTGGGGAATCAGCAGACTGTTCCTCTGCCACCATCTTTCTGACCATGTTGTGCCAGTATCCATGCAGTTTTCCAGGACAAAGAGCACTCCCCAAATCTCCCGGCCCCACCTAACCCTTTTCTCTGGATGCGGTTCAAGTCCACACAGAGTGTATCAGTGCATTGTTTTCATGGGCAGCTGGAAAACCCCAGGAATGAATGGAAACAGACGGTTACAGACAGCTAAATTGTACTCTCTCCTCTTCACAGAAAATGACTTTAATGGGGGTGCCTTCCCAAAGCAAGAATGGGATGAACACTACTGCAAATTTGGTGGGAGGCGAAATGGAGAACAGAGATGAGGAAAGATTTATTCACCAAACAAATTGCGGGGTATGTTTGGTAAGTGAGGGCAGACTGACATCCTGTTACTTTATCTGTAATGCTGGTATCATGCACAGCATCAGGCTCCCTCATGCTACTCCACAGTTGCCATTTTGTGCCTCCCCAACAGAACATTGGTCACCATCTGATCTTTCACACTTTCATCATGCCAGCGATTGCTGTAGGATTTTGCTAGGCAGTGACAATGTGGGCCAAATGATGGTGCTGCTGCAGCACGTCCTAGTTCTATTCAGCCCAACAGCAACAAGAGAGACAAAGCATGTCCACTGGTGAGCTCAAAACTCAGGCAAATAGAGGTGGACTTCGCTACAGTGCAGTTTCCCTGAGCTAATTTATGTTAGATTAGGTAGATGTAAAGTCCAGTCCTAAGAGTGAGAGTATTTGAAAAGATAAAGCCACGTATCTTGAGAGGTGCATGAGAAATACAACCTTTTATGTATAAATAACATAAAGTACCCCCCAAAAAACCAGAAAAGAACAGGTGTATCACAGGAATATTTTCTCTGTGAATCCAACCTGGGGTGCTGCATCTGAGCAGCCCAAGCTTCAGAGGTGCTCATAAATCCTGGTGGTAGTCTGAATGTTTACCCTAGTGTCCTCTTTACCACGGATTGCTGGGATATTTGGTGGAGAAAATGGTGAAGAACAGCACTGTCTCTGAACAAGCTCTGTCAGAGGCACCAAGAGAGCAGAAGCTTTGACATCCCTTGGGATGCTATATTTTCTCCCACCAGCAGTAACACCTCCCTAAGCCCTTCCCTGCCCTTCTCAGGCCTCTTGGAAAAGGTGTGCACTTCTTGTGGTACCTGTGTCAGGAGCAGGGGCAGTCTGCCCCGAAAGCCTGCTACAAAGCTCAGTCAAAGCTGTAGATTATTCTATTTTGGACAGTAGGTTTGTTCCTATAACTCTTCTAGGAGCAGTGAAATGTAAGAGATATTGTGAATGTTCCCCCCTTACCTAAGGTAACATAGCAATTTGGTTCTGCTGCCAATGAGGAAGATAAACAACTGAGAAATCATCCAGAGGCCAGATGTGAATGCAATTGTTAAAATACTGCCTAGGTCGCTGGTTGCAACTTCAGCATTTTTAGAAATGTGTTTTTGTACCAGTGTCAAAGGCACTGGGGCTCTCTGCTTGCATCAGTACAAATCTGGATTCATGCAGTTAAAGCCAGCAGCATTGTATCCATGCAAAATCAGTTAAAATGGGCTCAGAATCAGACTCGGAAAGTTACCCTTGTGTCACTTAGTAAGACATATTTCTTTTGGCTTCCATTTAGATTTGGTCCTTAAGGAGCCTGTCGTAAGAGATATATGGTCTGGGCAAGAGGCCAGCTTACTGTCTGGAAGAAACAGCAGGGCTCCCATCGAAGCAGGGAACAGGGTAAAATGAGCTTTTGACGATTACTTTGTAATTCTGTAAATATTTGTGATTTTGAATTATGCAGTAAAGTTCCCCCTCTGCAGTGATATGATAGAAGGGCCTTGGCATCTATAGACTACGCAAGAGGAAACCTGTTTACAGTAATCTTTGAAACAGATGCTGTGAGATCTTACACTTCCTGGTATGTAGCATCTTAAAAATTTCTAGGAAATCGCATCTGCTTTCCTAGCAAGAGATATAAGATGCTTTCACAGCAGTGGTTTTAAGTCACTGGTTCATTTCAGCAAAAAGTTAACGCAATCCCCTTCTTGCTCTATCTGAGTTCATGGCTAAATTCCCATTGTCACCAGGGATTGACAGTGGGGTTAGGTACTAAGACCCCATTTGTATCAACCAGCAACACTACCATCACCATTCATCAGGTCACTGAATACCACTTTTCTAGATGCCAGCCTTTCGGACTCCTGACATTGATTAGAAGTAGTCTATCCACCCAGGTAACGTGGCAGTGGACAGCAGAGACATACATGGGTTTTGCAGACAGGTATTCTTGTTACAACAGTATAGGAAACTTGGAAACCCATGTATTGTCAAAAGGAACTGTTTTGGAGACACTGCTTCAGAGCTGATTATGAACTAAAAGAACTTTGTAGATGCTTAGAGCAAATTCTAGGGTAAGTGACAGTTTCCAATCATCTTTTGTCCTGCAGGGGAATTTGCTAAATGTTCATACCCAAGCTAGATTTTTGAGCACTCCAGGACATTTCAAGCTGCAAAGGATCCATATTTATACAAAGAATGGAGGAACTCTGTTGCCTGTAAAAGAGGTCAGCTGCAGAGGGGCTGGAAAGAGCTGACTTGAGTCATGAAGCTTGGGTCTGAAGTCTGAAAGGATAACTTCAGATGATGTGCAAAACTGCATATACAGGCACTCTGCCCAGAGCCTATGAAAGCTTTTGGATGACCCTGGGAGAATGCATGAAATTTCAGAGTAGGCAGATGGGGAGGGCCTATACGTCTTCCAGACATTTTTTGGTGTTACCTAATACAATTGCCAATACTGCAGTTGTCTGTGTACCTCCACATGTGCTCTCCAGTCCTGTTCCCAGTGGAGCCTCACACACTGGTGCTCTATACATTAGGGTTTTGTAAAGCCTGGTTCTGCACTCCAGCTATGAACTGCCACTGTGCTAGGCACCACAGTGAGCAGTGCAGCCACACACTGTCCCTCCTGTGCTACCTACATATGAAGAGAGCCTCAGCTCACAGGCTGGAAGGGAGCCATGGTATACTTAAACAGTTGGGTGTCAATCTGGGTGTCAAGAAGACTGCTTTAAAGAGCATGTGGTTCCATGTGTAGATACTGTTATGACAAGAAGACTGCAGCTAGTCTGTGTATCAAATCAACCCTTGCTTTTAAAGAGGTTCCAAGCAGCATTAAACACAGTCTAGATGAAGTGCATGGTCACAGCCTTCCCCTGCACTGTGACTAGGGGTGCAAAGCCCCACATGGATCTAGAACTACACAGTGGTCTGTGATAAATGTTGAGAGCTGGCAAGGCCCAACTGGTATGAATTGTTAGGGAATTTCTTTGTTAAACTCTTGGCCACAACAGTATCCTGTGGCAATGAGTTTCACAGGCTGATTACACGTTGCCTAAAAGGTATTTCCTTTCAGAATTGGGAGTTAACTGCCTGCCATTGACTTGCCCTCATACTTGTGGCATTGGGCTGGGAAATCAAGACATTTCATCCTACAAAGCTATGCTGTGGCATCTTAACACAAAGCTCTGTGCCCATCTTTTAGCTGCAGTATGGCTCTGCCAGGAAATGTTGAATGCTGATGTTACTGGACTTACCAAGGGATGGAGGGAAGAGAAGGAGAGGCAGCTTCTTCCCTTCCTTTGAGCATTAGCTCTTGCTGGGCCTGTGGAGCATGGTCACGCACTAATCAAGAAGCTGACCTGACTTCTGCTCCTCCATCCTCACTTCAGAGTAAGGCTACATCTTCTTGAGTTTTTATAATTAAATAACTGTAAAATTGATCTGCCTTCAACAATGCTAACTTAATGCAAGTGAAACTACTTAAATGTTGATAAGGTTTTGAATTTAATCTAAGCATTAAAAGCTGTATTTAAATCTATTTAAGCTTAATTTTTATTTACATTGCACCAGTGTAACTAGATCAATTTTTAAATCAAACTCAACTTTACCAGGGAAATTTTCTCAGCGTAGGCTAGATTTGCTCAGTGAGGAACTTTGCCTCTGGAGACACCATGCAACGTGCTTTTGAGGCTAAAAGTTCTCATTGACTATAATGATGTGGTTGATTCAAAAACAAGGCTGCATGTCAGTGCAGGATACGCCACTATCGATCTTCTGGGCCCCTGACAGTAGTTTTAAGAGAGTCAGTTGGCTTTTGCAATTTTCTGAGGTGAAGAAAGAGGAGGTAATACTTCATTATCAGCAATTCTGACAGAGATTGGGGTTGACAGCCTGAAGCAGAGCACTAGGATGAAGGTGAAAAGATACTGGCAGCCAGAAAGGTCCTTCTGTAGGAATGTGGAGTGGTTGGGATGATGGAAGGGGTTAATTCTCCAGGAAAGATAATTAGCATTGCTGTACACTTTATTCTTTTGGTTTTGGTTGATCTCTTGGTGCTGACTTCTTTGGGGCGTTATTGGCTCTGCTTCTTTGACAGAACAAAAGAGCTTTAGTTGTCCATCAAAGACCATTGCAATACACCCAGATACCCAAGGCCCCAGAAGGGGGAGGTGAACACGGAGGAGCTGCCTGTGTTCCTTCCCCACAAACAGCATCAATAAAATTATTGAAATCATCTGCATCATTATTGAAACCTTTTCAAGGAAAATGTTATTCACCATTTACATCAGGGCAGCTACTGATGTAAATGCTGACTTATAAGACCTCCAGCAGGGCTGGGAGCCTATGCTTCATGCCTGAACGTCTGTCAAGTGAGCCTAAACACAAATAATTTGTAAGAAAGTTGCTCATAGAGGCTTTTGCATCTGACCATTACTGTCTTGGGAGGAGGATTTAAGGAGTCTCCCTGCACTGTGTGTATCAGAGATGTGAGAGGTTGAATCTCTGGTAGAATGAAGCTATATTTTAAAGACAAAGGTCCCAATTCATTCTACTTAATGCAAGAGAATTAGGAACCTGCTGATGTTGGACCATGGTATAGTCCATGGTGAAGGACAGTGGCCAGCCCTTTCCCCTTCCAAAAGAGAGTGTAGCTGATCTAAACTGCACATCCTTTCTTTACTCCTGGTGACTGCCAAAAGAGCTAAAACTTGGCTCCAGACTTAGCAATAGCCACTGGATCCTGCAAGTCATGTACTATTAATCTAGCCATAAACATCCAGATGCCTTCTGAAGGTTTTATATTTATCTGGATGTTATAGGAGCAGCTCATGCACCTGTGTATGTACATACCTGTATTTCTGTACATAGCTAATAGAAATTTGTTGAAGAATGACAAGTGAAATATACACCAGCAATACTGAGTTTCATACTTATGCATCCTTGGGTGTTTGTATGAAGAAAGATTCATTGCAGGATTTGGGCCCCGAGGAATAAAACTGAAGAGTAGATAACTTTTGCATTCCTCATTGTCCTACAACTATGAAAGAAGAACACAAACGTAATAAAGAAAAATTACCTAAAATTCAGGCAGATAAAACCAGTAGAAAAAGAATATTTAAAAAAAATCAAGAAAATTAATAAATATTCATGAAAAGCTTTCATCAGTCACCACAGGAGGGAAATATTAATTTGAAATAACAATAAGAAAACTTGAAAAGGCTTTAAAAGCAGGGAGGGAAGGAGCAGCACACCCTCTACTCTCATGGGCTCCTGCAACCAGTGCATGGCTGAGCTGTGGCCAAGGGTTTCCGCTCTAGCTCAGCCTCCTCTGGAGATGTAAACTGCGTGTGTTTAAAACATGCATACCTGCCTCAGACCTAACAAAGTACCCCTTCCGTCTGAATTCTCCCTTGAGTTCACATCGTAGCAGCACAGGAAAATAAAAAGGAGCGCTAATCTATCCTACAGTTTCCCAAACAAGGACTCTGGGCAGGGGTTTGTGAGTGGATTTGACAGATGTACGAGCAGATGGTGAGGGACACTCCCTGAGAACAGCCGATTCCCAGGCCTCCATGTCCAAAAAGTATCTTTTCATGGATAATGTGATTTTCAGAGGGAAGAAATCCAGTGCTCATGTCTCACACTTCTCGGTCATTTCTTGGATGCGATGGGGTTGTGTGGAAATGCTTGTCTTCAGAAAAGAGCTGGCTGGTGACAATGTGCCATGGAGCTTGACTGACTGTTACAAAACCCGAATTTGCAGCCCAACAGTTCTGTCTTTCAAATTTCTCCGTAGCTGCATGGCTACAACTGGCAGCCGGATCGGGATCACCTTCTGTTTGCATTGGGTGTGACATACTAGGCCTGTTTCACCTCTGCCAGAATGCACTGTGCAAAATAACATATCCCATGAAGTATCCGTTTAACTCATGCATTTCTGTACAGTCCACACACTGAAATACATCATGTCGGAGCAGGGCTGATGCTTTTTTAAATATCTGTGAGCTCCTGGTGACCCCCTGTACTGAAGATGACAGTGTGAAATGGAGGTAATGGGCTTGTTTTGGGGCTGGTGATTTGACTCAAAACTGCTTTTCTGATCAAATGAGGCGGGAGCTGGGAGAAAGTGGTTTTGTGATTTATCGCACAACTAATGGCATGAGTTTAGCTGCAGCTCCCCGTTTCTTAGCGGGGGGGATCCACATGGGACACTGCTGCTGCCTTGCTGGAGGCTCCCGCTTTTCTCTGCCTGGTGGATATACCCTTTGTATATTAAATTACACCATGATGGGATGCACGGATTGCACAGCTCCCGAGGCAGCAGCTCCACCCTACCACCCTGCCATGTTGAAGCCCTTGATCTGGCAGTTTGGAGCAGCACATAGCTGAGGTTGATCGGGCGAGGGGCCACATTAACAAGTAACAGCCCCAAAATCTTTCGGTAGGTGCAGAGCGAGAGAGGGGGTTTGGGGCTCCCGTGGATGGGGGGCTCCTGAGAGGAAGTCTGATGGGAGTCCACCCAGGGGAGAGAGGGAACAAAGGCGATGGCTTCCGTCAACGCCAGACCCCAGCACAAGCATCTGCGTCCCGGGAGGCACCGGCTTGAAAAGCCGGGGAGGAAACGAGGCTGCCCGCCGAGGAGCCGGTGCCGCCGGGGAGCCCTGAGGCAGCGGGGCCGGTGGGCAGCCTGCGGGGCGAAACGTGCCGCAGGAAGCGGTGCCTCCCCCGAAGAGAAGCCTGGGGACTCCGCTGGGGGTGTGGAAGTGCTGTCGGGTTGTTTCGGTTGCAGTGCGATGGGTCCCCAGCCACGAGAGACCCTCCCGCCCCTCAGCTCTTCCCCCAGCACCGCCGCGTGACTGAAACGAGGTAAGGGCGGCTTCAGCCCTAGTGAGGCGGGCGGCGGGAGGGGTGGGGGATGCGTCTTTCCCTCAAAAAGGGGGTTGCTGTGGAAGGAAGCCGTCCCGGAGGGGCAGAGCTGCCGGGCACCTCCCCAGAGTACAAGGCGGCGGGGAGCGGTGGCACCGAGGCGGCAGTGCTGGCAGGGGGAGGTCGCCGCCTCCCGCCCCAGTGGAGGGGGCTGCCGCGATTAGAAGGCTCTAACATGGAGGGGGAGCTAATGGAGGGAGGGCCGGCGCTGGGGGTGAGGAACCGCCCCGAGATGGCCTGAGGGGGGCACGGCGGCGGCTGCGGGGCGCCCGCCTCGGCCCGGCGGCGGAGGGGAGTCCTTCCCACCTCCCCGCAGGGCGGAGGAGACAGCAGGGGGAAGATCCCGCGCTCGGCCCGGCGCTGGCTCCGGCCCCCTCGGAGGGAGACGTTCCCCCTCCCGAGAGGGTAAGTGCGGGATCGCTCCGCCAGAGACGAGCCCCGCGCCTCCCCCCGGGGCCCTGAGGAAGTGCCGTAGGGCGGAGATGCGGAGGGGGGGGGGGGCCCTGCGGGGGGGCTGGCAGCAGCTCGGGGCGGGGAGGACGGGGGGCCTCTGAGGTGATCCCAGGGCGGGGGCAGAACGGGACGGCAGCCCCTTGGAGCGTTGGGGGCCGCCTAGGTCTGGGCTTCCCTCCCTGGGAGGCGTCGCCTCTTCAGCGTGCCCCGAGTTAGCCTTGAACTTGCTGAAGAAGCAGCAGTGCCGGCAGCCTGAGCGCGGCACCAGGTAGCGGTACAGCCGCCGTCCAGGCTGGGTCCTCTCTTAGGGACCGGACGTACCTCGGTGCCCACGGAGAAGACGCACCAGTAAGCTGTGTGGCTGGAGGGCCATCTGCCACGGTAGGGCTTCGGTTCCTGCGGAGAAAGAAGCGCTCGGTGGCTTCAGCACACCCTGACTGAGAAAGTGATGCATCCACGGGGGGAGATGAAACGATTTAACGTGCCCTCCTCTTCCTCCTTTGTGTCTCTCTACAGGAGTCTGGACTACCCTGCTGAGTTTTCGGAGTTGATGTAATGGCTGAAGTTGTTCAGTGGGAGACAGCTGGAGGCAGAGCATGGTCTGGCGCTTACACAGTGCCCATGATCTGACCCACAGCCTCTGCCTTTGCTGGGACCACCAGGATGGGGAACAGTGGCTCAGCCGTGAAGGTCTGCACAGATCACCAAGGAGGCATCAACTGGCTGAGCCTGAGCCCAGACGGCCAGCGCTTGCTCACGGGTAGTGAAGATGGCACTGCGCGGCTCTGGAGCACTGCTGACAGCCAGTGCCATGGCCACTTCCAAGGTACAATAGTTTCTGTTCACCTAGCTTTTGAGTCTGAAGCATGGCACAGGCCACACAGCATGTTCTGGTCTCTTTCAGTCGCTGCAGCCTGCCTGGCAGCCAAAATCATGCTTGTTTTGTTTTGTGGGTTTTTTGAGTATTTGTTACAGTAATGTAAAGCAGAAGCTGTTTCAACCCAAACAGGTTACTAGTGCTACTGAATGCATAGATCCATTTGTCTGAGGGTGGGGAGCATAACAGTTGTTCAACTCATGTCTCTTTCTGGAAGCTGTCTGGTTTACACCCTGATGAAATACTGTTTTTTTTTGTTATTGTCTCTCTCTCTTTCTTCTGTTATTTCTTTTCCTTTTAATCATGTCATTTTCCAGACAGTCTTTATTTAGACCCTCTTGACCCAGAAGCTAGAAAGAAACTTCACTAAACAGGCTACTTCTTTTTCCCCATATTTGACACACAGAAATGTTAATTGCTGGGTTTTTTTCTTTTAAATTGTTTTTGTATTTTAAGCAACTTCTTATCCTTAGACTGGCATCTCATTTCAAAAGAAAAACTGTAGAAAGTGTCATGCAGGATTCAGATGTGAATTAATGATGTTTGTATTCTCACTCGTTCATGTTTTCTTTTAACACACACACACACACACACACACACACACACACACAAACCCTCTTAAATTTGGAATTTCTAATCCTTTTTTTTCTCCAAAGAAGAAATTACATTGCTGTAGTCATTGTTTGTTTACTTTCTTGCTTGTTTTTGACTATGGAGCATTGTCTTTTTTTCTCCACATCCTGCCATGGTTCTGGCTCCTGAAAAACTCACTGCATTTGCTTTAGACTTAGAAATCCCTTTAAACCACTAATTAACTTTTAACTAGAAAGAGAAATACACTGGATAATACTCAGAATGTGGCCTATGTACTGCTAATGTTTGGTGTGTAAACTCTAAAGAAGGTTGGCTAGATGATTTTGTTGAATCAGATAATTGTATGTGTTTTATATTTATGCACACGTAGAGCTGTTGTGTAAATGTGTGTTGTACAGGCTATAATTATGGATAAACCTGTATCTGTAACACAGTTTCAAGCTTCTACCACAGCATAACCAGCGGACTTCTGTGGTGGCTGCTTTTGACCAAACCTTGTCTGCCACAGGGGGTTTTGGCATCCTTTGTGTGGCTGAGTATAACTGATGCTTAAAATCTGACTGGCAGACTTTGGTTCAATAACCAAGATGCTTTTTTGATCTTCTCAGAGCAGGATTATTTGATGATGGCAGAACAATCCTTGTGGTTGAAACCTGTCCCATTTAAGCTGCAAGCAAAATGTTTTCACAAAGTTGTGAGGGTGGGCATAGATTTTCCTATAGCCCTGGTGATCTTTTTAAGCAAACTCACCAGATGACACAAATTAAAGGGAAACAAGATGAACGTTTGTAATGTAGATTCTGGTTTGCTTTTGAACTATAGGAGTTGTAGTAAAATCTACTTTTTTGCAGTCAGTGAAACAAAGTGGTTTACTGGGCAGTCTGCTTTCCCTCCGTTTTTTTTACCATCTCTTTATTCTACAACATGATTCTGGTCTTCCAATGTCTTTTTCTGTCCATCTGTGTCTCTTTAATCACATTTGTCCTTACATTTTTTCTTTTCTCCTTAAAGAATAGTGTTATTTAAATCACAGTAGGGCCCACCAGCTTCAACCAAAGTCTGGGTCTCTCTTTTGATAGTTACTTAAGAGGAAACAGTTCTGATCTTGAAAGCTTGTGGTCTAAATAACTAAAACAGAAGATCGCAAGATAATACTATCGCAATGATTAGATGGGTTACAACAATTTCACACAGGAGATGGACAAAGCTGGGACTTGAATCCTAAGGTGATTTTTAAGTGCTGTGTATTTAATGATACAGTAGCAAAATTACACACCTTGCTAAACAACAACAAAAGTTTAAGGTTGTAGTATTGATTTTTCTTCGCTCGCATTACTCTGGTTTTCAGCCTGAAGTTTTTAGAGCAGCAGTTGTGTCTATTTTTATTGTAACTATAGAGTCCCAGTGTACTTAATTGTGCTCTTATTCTTTCTTTTTGTGTCATTTCCTTAAAGGTATACTGATAGTTTGAAAATTGTGGGGTTTATTCATGTTATTATTAGTCATGATGGGAAAACCATTGGCTGACTTTACCAGATACTTTTTTTTTTTTTTTTGGTTGGTTGTGTTTCATTCTGCTTGGACAATGAAACTAAGCTTGCTGGTAAATATCATGTCTTCGTTTTTTTCATGGTTTCATGCTTTAATTTAGGACTGTTTGTGTCCTGACAATCAGTGGGCTGGGTCAAAATGCAGCCTTTTTTTCCCTGACTTCAGGAAAAAGAAGCAAAAGCATTTCTTTATTAATAAAATAAGCCATTTTAAACTGGTTTTAAATTTCAGTAGTCTGAATTTAATTACACTGATGTTAATTTAGGTCATTATAGTTTTATAATACTGTTCTATCTACCTGATTCGTGGAACTGTACTGTTTTACACCTTAACTTAATCGTTACCTCAGTGAAGCAGAGTTTTCTGCTGTTAGTTAAAAAATATGTTTTGTACAAATCTTTAAATGTGAAGAACATGGTGGTGCCCTTAAAACTAGAGTTTCAGTCTGTTTGCTTGCTGTATTTTTCTTAGTTAAGGTGAAGAGCTTGACAAGTTTGTCCTGCTTACATGCGCTGTGATTGAATTTATTTCCTTTGTTATTCCTAGGACATGAAAGCTACATCACCTTTTGCCACTTAGAAAATGAGGCTGCCTTCACATGTAGTGCAGATCACACCATTCGAAAGTGGGATGTGATGACGGGTCAGTGCCTGGCCATTTACCGAGGACACACATCAATTGTTAACAGGTTGGTTCTGTGAAGTTCTTCGTTGTGTTCCTGTAATCTGTTATCATGTATATTGTCTTTTCACTGCAATTCTCCATTGCTACACTAATAAAATGGGTTGTGTAAACCTTTGAGTTCATGCTACACGTGTTCTGTGCTGTAATGATTAGTTTTCCTAGCAACAGTGCTGACACATCCATAGACAGCAGATAGGAGAGAAATGAAAGGCACACAGCAGGGGAATTGAATCTAGGGCTAGGAATGAAATTCCAGAAGAAATTACTCAATTGATAACAGATGCTTCTGATAAATAGATTTAAAAACATCATGTCAAGCCTTTGTGTATCAGTAAGAGGGATAATGTCAGGGCTTTTTCTGGAATTACTATTCCTGTTTGTGAAAATGAAGTTTAATATTAAACTGATTGTGTGTGACTGATTATCAAGTCAATTTGAAGCGCCTCCTAATAGTTGAACTGGATTTAATTAACGGCAAATAGAGCAGTCAGAGATTGGTTGTTCTTTTCTTTTTTTTCTATATTTCTTTTTTGGTGGGTGGATGGGGTTTTTTGTTCCCTACTAAACTCAAAACACGTATGATGTGTAGCTGGATTCTGTAAATAGTTAGGAAGGCTGGCTCTGTATTTTGGCACTGGGCTGATTTTTTTGCTTAAATCAGCAAATGGAAATATGTTCCCTATTCATATGACTTTTGAAAGTCAGTTTGAAAGTTTTCAGAGGGCCAAACTCAGCTGACGCAGATGACAGATTGTGATGTTCACCATCTCTGGTTTGGGAATATGAACTGTAGAGATTTTTCTGTTGCACGTTCATGGAGGCTCAGGAAGTTGAATCCTTGAGCTGTAATCTGATTTGCTCTTCAGTTATGCAACAAGTGAAGTACTCTTGCTCTTTTTTGAGATCCTGGACTAAGTGAAATTAGGTGTACATGTTTTTTTCTTGCGCCCTCTCTGATGATGGAAAGATGATTTTCTTTGCACACTGTCAGTTACAGGTCAGGTTCCTGCAATGTATTTTTTCTTTTTTAATTCCAAGGTATTTTCGTAGGCTTTTATAAATAATTGTTTGTAAATACTAATATCTAATTATCAAGAATGAGTTTAAAAACAACCAAACAGAAAACCCCCAAAACAACAAGCTCTTAGCTAGTGTATGTAACTTATGAAAAGTACATAATGGTCTTGCTGGACAAGATTTTGGAAAAAACAAAGCTACAGTGCTGCATCAATGTACCTGAACACCTGAATAAGGGGTCTTAATTTTAAAACTAGGAACAGGGAAGTTTCTACTTTTCTACGGTTTTCTACAACAAAAAAGTTGATAAATAGTGTGTATTAAACAGTGATACTGAATTGGGATTACCTATGTTGTGTTCATGCTACTGTTTCTAACTTTAGGATGCTTGGGATTGAAATTGTGTCAAAAAATTGTCATGTAAAAAGAATTATATGTTCATACATGCAAAATTTGTTTTTTTGCAGGATCCTGGTTGCCAAAGACTATCTCTTTAGTGGCTCCTATGACAGGACAGCGCGCTGCTGGAGTGTGGACAAGGAGAAACAAATCCAGGAATTCCGGGGCCATCGGAACTGTGTCCTGACTCTAGCTCACTATTCCTCCAGGGATGTTCTTGAAGAAGAGGAGGAAGAAGAGGAGGAGGAGAAAGTAAGCAGAGACCTCCTCGTGACAGGTAGCACAGACTGCACTGTTAAGGTCTGGTGGGTGTCCAGCGG